GTGCCTCATGCATGCTAAGCGAGTACGCTACCACTTGAGCAACATCCCCAGCCCCCCACAGTTCTTTTTACTTTTTGAGACAGGGTCTCTAAATTGCTCAGGCTGGTCTTGAACTTGTGATCCTCCTGCTTCAGTTTCCAGAATTGCTGGGATTATATGCATGCACCACCATGCCTGACCTGTTTCTTATCTTAAAAATAGACAAAATTCATTTGTGGTAGTAAGAGTCTAAATGTTAGGCAGTGTCTGGAATAGGAGAAAAAGGCCATTTCAGCTTTACAATCTACTCAGCTCTGACTTTACTCTTCTCCATTGTTATTAACTGGAGATAATAACTGGTTCACTAGGCATATTCACTGATTATACATAATAATAAATTTTCTTTAAAATACATAGCGAGGGTTGGGGATGTAGCTTGGTGGTAGAGCGCTTGCCCAGCATATGTGAGGCACTGGGTTTGATCCAGCACCACATAGAAATAAATAAATAAAAGTATTGTGTGTATCTACAACTAAAAAAAAGTTAAAAAAAAAATACATAAGGAAAAACCAGGAATGGTGGTGGCACATGCTTGTAATTCAAGTGACTTAGGAGGCTGAGGCAGGAAGATTGCAAGTTCTAGGCCAGCCTCAACAATTTAGTGAGGAAAATAATAATAATAACAACAACAACAACAACAATAATAATAATGGAAGCAAGGAACAGAGAGAGGACAGTTAGTGGTTTCAGGAGAGCAGTTGGATATGATATTCTATAGTACAGTAGAATAACTACAGTTGATACAATTGAATATTTCAAAATAGCTAGTAGTGGGGTTGGGGGTGTAGCTCAGTGGTAGAACACTTGCATGCCATGTGTGGGGCCCCAGATTCCCTTCCCAGCATTGCAAAAACAAACAAAAATAGTAGAGAGAATTTTGAATGTTCCTAAAATAAAGAAATGATAAAACATCTGAGGTGACGGATATGCCAATTGCCCTGATCTGATTATTACACATCGTGTACATGTATTGAAATGTTATACTGTACCCCATAAATATGTACAGCTAATATGTGTTAATTAAAAATAAAAATGTTTGAAAAAATCAGATAAAATAGAGTAGTATATAATGTTCAAAATCAGACATTATTATTATTATTATTATTTAAAATATACAATATTTTTGGTGATGCATAGATAGTGATAGTTCAGTATTTTTATAAAGCATGAAAAAGACAAGATTGAGAAAAAGATAAGAGTGTGAACAAAGGGACAGGCATATAAAGAGCCTCTAAGACATTAGCAATGTTCAATTTCTTTCTTTGTTTCTTTTCTTTCTTTCTTTCTTTTTTTTTTTTTTTTTTGTTATATTGGGTATTGAACCCAGGGGCACTTTACCACTGAGCTACATTCCCAGGTCTTTGTTTCGCTTTGAGTTGCTGAGGCTGGCATCATCGAACTTGCAATCATCCTATCTCAGCCTTCAGAGTTGCTGGGATTACATTTATTTGCCACTGCACCCAGCATGCAATGTTCAGTTTCTTAATAATGATGAATACATGGTGTTTAACTTATTAGTATCATTATTATTATTTAAAATATACTTGTTCTATAAATATTCTACCATTAATTTTTTTAAATTAAAAAAAAAAAAAACAGAAGACACACACCCTTAAAAGAAAGAGTAGGTAAGGTAAGTGAACTAAGATAATTTTAGAGCTGGAAGAGAGTTCTAGGAAGCCATTTTTTCCCAACCAACTCATTTTAAAAAAATAATTTTAATATTTATTTTTTAGTTTTCGGCGGGCACAACATCTTTGTTTGTATGTGGTGCTGAGGATCGAACCCTGGCCGCGCGCATGCCAGGCAAGCGTGCTACTGCTTGAGCCACATCCCCAGCCCCCAACCAACTTATTAAAGAAAATTAAACAAAAGCCAGAGCGTTTAAGTGACTTGTTCAAGTGACTTAGTTTATTACGGAATCTAAACTAGAACTTAGGTGGGCCTTCTTCCTATCGGGTTCCTCCTCCAGACACACTCTGACATTCAGCCTTAGTTTTCTCCTCTCTTCCAGCAGTCACATCTCTGGACTGCATACATCACACATCATAAAACTCACTTGCTATATCTTTGTTTCCTTCCAAATTTGATGTGTTTTCTCTTTCTTTCTTCCTTTCTTTTCTTTCTTTCTTTCTGTATGTGCGTGTGTGTGTGTAGGAGATCCGAATTGATATCCTCTCCTTCACAGACATATCAAACACTTAAAAAATCAGCTGAGCCTGGCTGGTGTGGTGGCACATGTAATCCAAGCAGCCTGGGAGGCTGAGGCAGGAGGATCTGAAGTTTAAAGCCAGCCTCTGCAAAAAGAGACTCTAAGCAACTCAGTGAGACCCTATTTCTAAATTTAAAAAAAAGAGAGAAAGAAAGAAAAGAAAAAAAAAAGTAGAGCTGGGGATGTAACTCAGTGATCGAGTGCTCCTGAGTTCAATCCTTGTTTCCCACCCCCCACCAAAAAAAAAAATTGTAGAGAAGTAGTTCTGGATCTAGTTCTCTACCACTATTTTTTTTTTCCTTATTAATTGCAGCTCTCCTGATTCTCTGTTCCTCACAGTACGACCTGCTTCAATATGCAGGCCACCTTTTGGGCCTCCAAATTACAAAAGGAAGAGTTAGGATCTGAGAGTTGATAAAAGAAAACTACTTTATTTTCCCCCAAGCATAAGGTCTCTTTTGGTAAAAGTGAGCTCTTCTGCCACCTTGTGTCACAGGTGAGAATATCAAGCCCTCAGATCATTCCTACCACAACTACAAGGTGGCAGTACTGCAATGTGGCATCTAGGAACTAATCTACAGAAAATTTCAAATAGAACAGTGAGGTCAATATCACAAAGGAGTAGAGAACCATGTAATCATGTTAAGAAAACAGTAAAGAAAAACCATAAAACCCAAGAGAGGCAATGGATCCCTTTATTTTGCCCTAATCTCCTCCTGTGCTAAGAGTATCAGGCAACTGTAGCAGGGGAAAAGGGAACAATACTAATAAATATTTGCTCTGGTTGGGTGTGGTGGAACACAGATGTAATCCCAGCTGAGGCAGGAGGACTGAAAGTTTGAGGCCAGCCTCAGCAATTTAGTTAAGCCATGTCTCAGAAAAATAAAAAGGGGGGGCTGGGGATGTGGCTTAAGCGGTAGCGCGCTCGCCTGGCATGCGTGCGGCCCAGGTTCGATCCTCAGCACCACATACAAACAAACATGTCGTGTCCGCCAAGAACTGAAAAATAAATATTAAAAAATTCTCTCTCTCTCTCTCTCTCTCTCTCTCTCTCTCTCTCTCTCTCTCTCTCTCTCTCTCCCACTCTCTCTTAAAAAAAAGAAAGAAAGAAAAATAAAAAGGGGGCTGTGACTGTGGCTCAGAAGTGGAGTGCTCGCCTCGCACGTGTGAGGTCCTGGGTTTGATCCTCAGCACCACATTAAAAACGAAAGAAAGAAAGAAAGGCATTGTGTCCATCTACAACTAAAAACATTTTAAAAAGGGTGTGGGGGGCTGGGGATGTGGCTCAAGCGGTAGCGCGCTCGCCTGGCATGCGTGCGGCCCGGGTTCGATCCTCAGCACCACATACAAAAAAAAAAAAGAAAGATGTTGTGCCCGCCGATAACTAAAAAATAAAAAAAAAAAAAAAAAAAAAAAAAGGGTGTGGGGCCTGGGGATGTAGTTCAGCAGTAAATTTCTTGCCTAGAAAGCCTAGGCCCTGGGTTCAATCCACAGTACTGGGGAGAGGGAAGGGAGTGGCTTGCTCTGTGTCTGGATGCCCACCACTTCCTCTTCTTCCACTTTCAGCTAAAATGTCCTGCAGTAACATTCCTTCCCTTTAGTTTTCCCCACAAAGACTTCTGTGATGCTCATTTTAGCCAGATTTCAAGCTGTATTAAAGTGTCATGAGACAGGGTGGTATTTAAATGAAATTTGATTGAAATTTCATAAGGCCCCTCCTGGAAAGTCTTTTGCACCAAGCTCCCTTTATAACTGTACCAATCAGTTTCAGCCTCCAGAGCCTCTCATATCTGGTTAAACCCATGTTGGCTCCATTGGAGGACATTTACAGTGGGTAGAAAGGCTGCAGAGGCTCTGGACTTAGGCAAGTATCTGGGTAATCTTCATTTCTCCTTTATGATCTACTTAGCTACACCATCAAAAAGTCTTTAAAGTATTACATTAAGTGTATACTCTTTGTTAAAAGATGCAATTTTGGAAAAATCTTCAACATCACTTACTTGTCTAGGAAAACTTTTCCAAACTGCAAACTATATCACTCACCTATCGTATTTAGCTCTTCTTCACCTCTTAACCCATTAATCATAGGAATGTTAACCTATACTTACTTCACTATTTAGGAGTGTGACAATATGCAAAACTTGATAGCTACATCTGTGCTCTTGAGTTTATGTGTATAACTGAATGAATTCTAGAGATATTTTTGTTTGGACTCTCCATTTATAGAAGAGAAAATTTAAATCCTAAAAATTTAATTAATTTTCCTAATGTGATATAGTTAATAACAGAGCCCTAGAACCCAGTTATATTGATTCCTATTCCAGTTCTCTCTCCAGTGTAAGTCACTGAGTCATTCTGTCCTACTTTCTTGTTCTCTCTAGAAATTGCATTCCTTAATAGAAATCTCCACATCCTTTTATGTTGGTGTATCTTTGTGCCTGTATCAGTGGGCATGTATTGAATGTGTACGTGTCTATCTGCAAGTGTCAGTGAACTGGATGTTTATACCCTTTATACTAGGGAAACCTCTAGGTAATTACAGTTCTCTGTGTCAGCACCCAGCAGTAAAGTCAGGGGAAGACCTTCCAAGTCAATCATTAATAAACAGACTTGACTCTTTCTCCAATCAGCTCTATTCCTGGGTCTTCAGGAAATAAGACAAAATAATTAGGGTGGAACCAGACTCTCACAGGGTGAAACCTGGTTTCAGGGCAAGTGAAAGCAACTACAGCAAGACTATAAGGGGCAATGACAGATTAACAGTGGACTATCTTTGTCATGAGTGCTCAAGCTAACATGGATACCATCTTAGTCTTCAGCCTAATCATTGTATCCTATGATTCCAACAAGAAAGGTAAGTACTTGTGTAGGATAATATCATGGAAAAGAGAGGCCTAAGAAACATTTTGAGTCTCTTCCACCAGAAGGGAAATAGCCAATACCCAGCAAGTGATACTTTCCAGAAGTTATACCATACGTCCTCTTGCCTTTAAGCAGGATTGCAACTTACTCAACTTATTCATGATGTGAATGTAATGCATTCTCCTGTATGGCTCATGTAATTAACATTAAAAGTCCTTTCATTGTTATCTTTCTTTATGAAAGCATGCTGTCACAGTTTCCATATTGTCCCCACCTAAGACACCCAAATTCATAATTCCTTATAAGACATTGCCTTCATTAAAAAAAAAATGTAGTTGTAGATGGACTGCATGCCTTTATTTTATTTATTTATTTTTATGTGATGCTGAGGATCGAACCCAGTGCCTCACACGTGCAAGGCAAGTGCTCTACCACTGAGCTATAGCCCCAGCTCATGTTGCCTTCATTTTTAAGGTGGCATGTCCACATATTTAGACAGGGTGCTGTGGGTAGGGAGAGTTGAGGGAAAAGGTACTTTGAGGGTGGAATGAAACTATATGCTGTTCTTTGGTAACTTTATTTAAAATATGGCTTTTCAGCAGTTCCTAAACATTTCATCTCTAAAATTAGCTATTTAGAGTTAAGGAAAATAGTGGATGGTGCGGTAGTTGCCAAATATAACAAATTATGAAAATTCCTATACCCTGTAAATCACATGTGTGCCAAAATGCACAGATAACTATGATCTATGAGTCTGTGAAAATCCATAGAGATAAAATGTCCAAGGCAATACTTAATAATCTTCCAAACGTGCTCTTTAATACAGTTGGCAGAAGAAGAGGGAAAAGAGAAATCATCATTTTTCCTTTAGGGAATAGGTTAGTTACTCTTTCATTAACTTGGTAACTTTATTTCACTTTTCTTTGTCCTAAGAGCAGTAGATTGGTATTCAGTTTTCTTTATAATAGGCTAATTCTTACTTGTATGCATTTGTGTGTTTTAAAGTCTTTTTTATAGGCAGTATTTAATCTCCCTGGCTGCAAGTTTTATGAGTAGGAACTTTATTCTTTTGTATCCCTCTCCTATGCCCAGAATTCCAACAAGTAAGTACCAATAAATTCTGACCTTTTTTCCCCCTAGACCTCAGAGAAAGCAGCTGCCAAGTGGAACAGTTCCCTGGGCTCTTCCCAAAGGATGTGAAAAGCATGAGGGAATTTCTAATGCAAGGTAGGAAACAGGCTCTATCTAGAAAAACACTTTTCCGTACCAAGAAATTTTTGTCTTTAAAAGGTGCCTTGTCTCCTCCCTTCTTAGCCCAGATCTCAAATATACTATTTTAAAGATATGTATCCCCTCCCCGTGGAGATTTTCTGAAAACTAATCTTTAAATTCACTTAGTAATTAAGGCATGCCTATATAAATCAAAGATGGGGACAAAGAAAGATGAGACAGCACCTGTTCATCGCATTAAAGAAAACAATCTATGAACATTTCTCTGTGCTGAATTTACAGCAGTCACCTATCTTTATGGAACCTATAGCAGGATGGAAGAAAAGCAGGACTTGCATTATTTAGTGTCATAAATACATACTGAGAAAGAGGTGAAAGTGCAGCAATGGAGTTTAACAGGGTTGACAAATGGAACTGAGTTAGCTGGGCACTGTTCATATTTTTAAAAAGCTTCATTGTTCTCTCTGGCTCTTCCTTCAGAAACTCACACAGAAGCCAAAAGGGCCACATTCATCCAAAATCGGACTATGGCTACACTGCAGTGCCTTGGCTCTGGGAGCAAAGTGAAAGTCAACCTTCTATACTTGGAGGGGAGGCCAGAAGTCAAACCTGTTCTGAAGAACCTAAGAGTCATTGCTGCTCCCCATAGAAACAGCTCTGCTTCCCCAAGCTGTCACCTAATCCCCACATCCAAGTTCCAGACTGGATCCATTCTAACAGGCAAAGGTGAGATTGGAAGAGATGGATGTATGCACTTTTAATTGACATAGCAGCTGGTGCTTAGTAGCAACTAAAGAAAGCCACAAGGAAATAGATTATCCTCCCCTTAGGTGAATCTTTATTTTCTCTGAGAACCAATTTTCTAATCCCAAAGATCCCTTCTAGCCCTGGTATCCTATGGTTTTTTCAAATGATCTTCATTTCTTATAAGTCTTCTTTGACAATATTTTTAATTTTTAATTTATTTTGGATACACACAGTAAAATATTCACACAGCACACTGCAGTGAAAAGTAAGTCTCCCTTCTATTCCTTTCTCTTATTCCTCCAGTTCTCTATCCCTGAGGAAACCACTTACTCAACCTATTCTATTTCCTCCCAGAGATGTTCTAAGCATGTATGGGTGTACATAAATGTACATAATGTACATAATAATAATGTACATAATGTACATAAATGGTTGCACACAATTCATACTGTTCTGTGCCTTGTTTTTTCAACTTAACAATACATCTTATAGTTTGTTCCATGTCATTATATCTGCTTTTTTGTGTGTGTGTGCTGGACATTGTACTCTTGTTCCCAGGGCCAAGCCAGGTAAATGCTGAGCACAAGGCTATCACCGAGCTACACTCCCAGTCCTGCCTCATTCTGTGTGTGTGTGTGTGTGTGTGTGTGTGTATGGTACTGGTGATTGAACCCAGGGGTACTCTATACCACTGAGCTACATTCCCAGGCCTTTTTTATTTTGAGCAGGGTCTTGCTAAGTTGCTGAGGCTTTCCTAGACTTGGGATCTTTCTGCCTCAGCCTCCAGAGTTGTGGGATTACAGGAGTATGCCACCACCCCTGGCTCCTGCCTCGTTCTTTTTAGCAGTTGTACAGTATTGTGTCGCTGTACCATGACTTATTCTACCAGTCCTCTATTAATGAATATGTTGGTTTTTCTAGTCTTTTGCCATTACAAACAATGCTGTAGGCCATGATGGTGTACATTCTTCTTTTGTATTTGCCATTTAGCAAGAAGATAAATTCCAAGAAGCAGGATTGCTGCATCAAAGATTTCATAGAAAAGAAAATAAAAAAATTATAAGATTTTGCTAAGTTACCCTTCTCAGACGTGGTCATATTTTGCATTCCCACCTACACTGTGTGAGAATACTTGTTTCCCCTCATTTACTCAGCAGGGTTTTTGTTGTTGTTGTTGTGTTGTGGCTTTGTTTTTGATGTTGTTGTTGTTGTTTTGGTACTGAGGTTTGAACCTAGGTGTACCCACTGAGCCACATCCACAGCCTTTTTTTTTTTTAATGTATATTTTATTTAGAGACAGGGTCTCGCTGAGTTGTGTAGGGCTTTGTCAAGTTGCTGAGGCTGGCTTTGAACTCACAATCCTCCTGCCTCAGCCTCTCAAGCAGGTGGGATTATAGATGTGTGCCACACCACGTCCAGCCTGGGCAGTGGTTCGTGACCTCAGTCTTCAGTTTCTCTGCTTTTGCTCTCCTTTCTTTTTTCTACCCATTCTTTTTGTCAAGTAGTTTCTCACCAAGAGATATTCTCACCAAGACAGTTCCCCCCTTTATATACAGGCCATCCCTTAGAGGCTGCTGCTATACTGCTGGAAAAATAAAACTTGACATTTTTAGAGAAACTGAAGGGTTCACAAGTAAAATAATAGGGAAACAAGTTTAAAAACTAGAGATTGGGATGTAAGTGGATAGACTCACAGGATATGACCCAGCTATGGTAAATTATATATTCTCACATGACTTGAATGTTACATTCACTTTTATTATACTTTCTAAAATTCTACCAGTGTTGACTGTATGAAGAAAAAAATAAACTCTTAAAAACTCAAAACCCTTTAGCAGGATTTTAGACTTTCTGTCATTCAATATCAATTCAATCAGATTGTTTTCCTCTTAACATATGACACCCTGCTTGATTCCATGGTACTAATAATGGAGAATTAGTGGGCCTATGTCATTTTGGAGTCAACAGGGCTTGGGTAGAATAAACATAATATTATGCATTGTGGAGCTCTGGGAAATTAAAGACATTAGTTCTTAGAAATTCTAAACAAGGAAATCTGGGAGGTTAAGGAAAAGGAGAGATGCCAAAGATCAACCTGACCTAATTAAAAAATTTGCCCTGAGCAAGCCTTCCAGCTTTCCTTCATGAGGGTGGTTGGTTTTGGGATTCAGAATTTAAAGTATACCCTATATTATTTGAGCCATGTGAAGAGACTTAATGGAGGAGTAGTCTGAGAACCTAATCATCATTCACCATATATTTCTATAAAACTATAATGATGAATCCCAAACAATGTAAAACAAGAGTTTTAGAAAGTATAAACAACTTTTGAATCATAACCTCTTTTATAAGTTTGAAACTGCTTCTTCTGAATTTACACCAATTTGATTACCAGTATGTGACAGGTCTCAAATAGGATAGAAATAAAAATTAGGTAAATACAAATTTACAAGGGTCATAAAAGAGATGCACTCTGAATGACTGCACTGTGATGAGATAAGTCTACATAGGAGGATGTCCAAGATAGTTCATGAAAATATCCTCATATAAAACAAGAATTTGAAGCCATAACGATGGGAATATTCTGCAATGTTATCAGAAGACATGGGTGGACAAAGAATGAAAAAACAGAAAGAAGGAGACAGTTGCTGTTTATAGAATTTAGTCAAAGGAAAGACCCTCTGTTACAAATATTCTGAAATTTCCTTCTTGTGGAGAAAAATTACTCACTAGGTCTTTATCACTGATGACAGAGTCTATATTTCCTAGTTCCTTATTGTTTAGATTCTATATTAATTAAGAGGAGAAACTTTCCAGTCAGGTGTGGTGGTACATGACTGTAATCCCAGCTACTTGGGAGGGAAAGGCAGAAGGATCACAAGTTCTAGACCAACATGGGCAACTCAAAAAAATCTTGTCTCAAAATAAAATGAAAAGGGCTGGGATCCAGGGATGATGGCACATGCCTGTAATCCCAGCAACTTGGGAGGCTGAGGCAAGAGGATGGCAAGTTTGAGACCAGCCCCAGCAATTAAGTGAGACCCTGTCTCCAAATGAAAAGTAAAAAAAAAAAAAAAAAAAAGTTCTGGAGATGTGGTTAAGCACCCCTAGGTTCGATCCCCAGTATAGGGGATGGGGAGGGGAGCTAATATTGCAATTCCATCACCACTGGGAATAAAGTGTTTTTTTTACAAACTCCCTGCTCCACTTTGGTGCTAAAACCTAACAGATGAGACCTGAAAGAGATGAGCTGCCAATGGACTTTCATTTAGAAGGTAGGCTGAGGGCTGGGGATGTGGCTCAAGCGGTAGCGCGCTCGCCTGGCATGCGTGCGGCCAGGGTTCGATCCTCAGCACCACATACAAAAGATGTTGTGTCTGCCGAAAACTAAAAAATAAATATTAAAATTCTCTCTCTCTTAAAAAAAATAATAATTATTAAAAAAAAAAAAGAAGATAGAAGGTAGGCTGAAAATATACTGACAGATGAAGCCTATTTAGTAGAATTTGAAGCAGTGGTTCCCAGGAGGAAGGAACATCTGCCACAATGAAATCCATTATCCCTGGGGTTAGAAGGCAGAATTCTTCCACTTAAAGAGACAATCTCTAGGTTTTCCTTCTTCTTTCAATCATAATATCACTCAATTTGCAAAGTGTTTTTATACCCACTTTCTCATTTTTATTTGTTTCTGATCTTTATAACATCCTTGAGAAACAAGTATACGAAGTATTATTTGTACCATTTTCAGATTAAGAAAACCAAAACTCAGAGAATTTATGTACCTTGTCCAAAGTGAGATAAATTACTTATTTTCATCTGGGGTTTGAACCCAGGGCCTTGTGCATGAGAGGCAAGCACTCTACCAACTGGGCTATATTCCCAGCCATCATCTCTCTTATAAACGTATATGTTATCACTTCATAATTTCTTTCATTTTTTTCCTTTGAACCTGTTGATTTTTAAGTCTATCTCTACCTCTCTGCCCACACTGTCTTCCTAATTCAACTGAAATCAGGAACTATTACTTGCCTGGTCTATGGCCCCCAGCCTCTGAAGAACTATCATTTTCACATGGACTTAATTAGGACATGTGAGAGTAATTTAGAAAAGTCACATCGAATTTACAGACTTTAATAAGCAATTATATAAGACCATCAAAATGGACAAGAATCACAGTATCTGATTTGGATTAGGTCAATTCTGAAGGCACATGAAGCTATTAGTTCCAGATTACAGCCAGAATCCTTCTGCTCCTCATTACTTCCACTCCTAGACTGGATCACATCACCCCTCATTTGAATTTCTTTGACAGCCTCCTAGCAGGTTATCCAGCTTCTACCCTTGCCCCCCACAGACCATTTCCAACACAGCAGTCTAGTGATCAAAACAAACTTCTGTCATTCTTCTGCCCCAAATCTTACAATAGATCTTATTTCAATCAAATAAAAACCAAGATCCTTAAACCAGCTTATGAGTCCGTAAGTGATATTAACCCTTTTCTTGTGGAGCAATTGTCCCCCTTGCTGAATCCATGCCATCTCACTGGTCTTCTTGCTCTGCCTCTAAAATTGTAACATACCAGGCACATTCTGGGGCCTTTTCTCTCATTTCCCATATGCTTGGTTACTACTTCCCCAGGCATCTGTTCAGTGGATCCCCTCAACTCCTTCAAATCTTGGCTCAATTCTCAATTTCTTAAAGAAACAGTCTAGAATGCAGGTTGCCCATTTGCATCCCTCGAGCTTTGTTTTACGTGTTTTTTTTTTTTTTTTGGTAGCACTTATTGCCTCTTAACATACTATAATGTGTGTTATATTCATTGTTATCTGCTTCCCCCATCCCACCCCACAACCCTCCCTCCTCTTTGCTTGCTCTCTTGCTAGAATTCATCCAACAATATATAGAAAATACTGAAGCAGTGCCTGGCACATAATAGATATTAATTTTTGGACATCTGCTGAATAAATGATTGAGAAGTATGTGAACCTGGGTGGACTTTCCATCTTCCCATTCCTTTTGCTTTCCCAATTCCCTCTCACAGTAGTAAACCAAGGATGCACTAAACAGATTTGCAGCAGCCATTCAGGAAATTATAATATTGCACATCTTTGAACTTTGGAGTCACTTTTATTAAAGAAGGAAACTTCCAATACTGTTACACCCTCCATATTTATTATTATTACAGCTTTAAGAATGATAGGCAAATAAGATATGGCTTACTCTTTTACTCTGATCCTGTGTTAGTCAAAGGCCCCATAGGGACTTAATCCATATCTCTTCTTATCCAAATTCATAATCCTCATTTATTCTTGGCATTATTTTATACTCACACCCTAAACCTATGGACAGACAGGTCAATAGGGCCACAGTTAGAAGTTTATCAGGTAATTAGAACAAGGGTTTTGTCAGGTAATATCAAGGGTAGATAAAATTTTCTCTGAAAGTTGTCCTTTCATTGTTTCTTTTTGTTTTATAGCTTTTTTGCCAGGGATCTCCCAATGTAAGTTCTACCCCATGATGAGGACGTCATTAGAGACTTTTCCCATCACTACCACCTCCACAACTTCTGGGAATAAAGAAGAAGAGAAAACTACAAGTACTAGTGATTTTTCTAGCCCTTTGACACAAGGTACAGAATAAGCAGAAATATAAAACAAGAACGAAAGAAATACTTTTAGCCCCAACATCAGTATGGGTTCGTAAGATTTTCCTGGAGTTTGAGAAGTTAGACTTTACATTTAAAAAATCACTCAATTGGGGCTGGGGATGTGGCTCAAGCGGTAGCGCGCTCTCCTGGCATGTGTGCGGCCCGGGTTCGATCCTCAGCACCACATACAAACAAAGATGTTGTGTCCACCGAAAACTAAAAAAAATAAATATTAAAAAAAAAATCACTCAATTTTTTAATGTAAAAATTAGCTTCTCCATAAAAAAAGGTCCCAGAAATGTTTGTAGTTTGACGCCATCAATGAACCTTTACCTCCACACAAATGAGCTCATCTTGTAGCTAGCGTTGGGGATACAGTAAGTTCTGTTCATGTGATGTATAATTCTAGTCACTGCATGCATAGGTGGGTAATATTTAAATACTAAGCAATTATTTCAGTGGTGATACCAACCAACTGCATGTTTTCATCCTCATTGTTTTTAGAAACAACTCTCCCAGCCATGTGTGTTAGTGCACATCTGTAATCCCAACTGATTCGGAAGACTGAGGCAGGAGGATCATAATTTTGAGGCCAGCCTCAGCAATTTAGGGAGACCCTATCTCAAAATAAAAAAATAAAAGGGGATGTGGATGTCCTTCAATGATAGAGTGCCCCTGGGTTCAACACTCATCACCACACACACATACATATACACACTTGAAATAAAGAAAGAAAGAAGGGAGGAAGGGAGGGAGGAAGAAAATAAATAGAAAAAAAAGAAAGTCTTCTCTAAATTGTCTAGCAATTAAGTTTTGTAAGATTTGAATTTTGTAAATCTGAATTACATCCTAGATTCTACCAAAGGAAAAGTAAATATGAGATTAGAAATAATAAAATGCACATGAGCCATTTACCCCAGATTTGATTTATTATCCAGAAGCAATGCCAATTCACCTTTGTTCCTCCTATAACCTACAAAAACCAAGAGAAGCACAGAAAAAAGGTGATTTTCTAATCCCACACAATGTGTCAGAGAAAGTGGGTAGGGACTCTGAGAAGACTTGAGATGGAAAGGTAAAGCTTAGAACTCCTTGTGCATTCAAGCCTTCTCTTCCTCTGAGAATGCAAGAATCAGCCCTACATGATATGGAATCCCAAATACAGAGAAATGATTCGTTGGGTGTATGTTGCAAAAGAGGTTAGAGAAGAGACTATCGTGCCCATCCCACTCCTGATTCTGAGTCTAAAATGGAAATATAGCCTCTGCTTCTGAGTCAAGCTGGGTCCTTCTTAGTCTGGGAGCCAGGAGAACTTCAAGTCAAAGGGTCAATATACTCCCTTACTCAAATTCTCTCTCTCCATTTAGTCACAGATGAGGACCTAGCAAAAAGGCAGAAATGGAGTATTGTGGTCAAATTTCTGATTGCTGTCACCCTGTTGGTCACTGGAGTTGCCATTATGATATTTGTCATTTTTGAAGTCCCATGCCCTGTAAGTTTGCTGGTATACTGGGTCCTGGGACTTGATCTTTAAAGACCTCCTTCTGTTCCAAAGGCAGCTTGGTTTAGTGAGGAAAGCAGACGTTGGGGTTTTGATAAATCTGTCACTCACATTCATTAGTCAAGTGATTTGGTTAAAGTTGATTGACTTCTCCTACTATAGTTGCCTCATCTGCAAAATGGGACTCATTTTCCTTGCATGCAGTTATTCATGTTATTAGAGCTCCTGTGTGAGAGGCACTTGACACATAGGAGGCACTCACTCCATGTGAGTTCCTTTGACTACTGCAAGACATTCTCTAGGAAGAGTAGTTCTAACACAATGGTGGTATATACCTGTAACCCTAGCAACTCAGGGGGCTGAGGCAGGAAAATTGTAAATTAGAGGCTAGCCTCAGCAATTTAACGAGAACCTGTCTTAAAATAAAAAATAAGAAGAACTGGGAGCTCAGTGGTAGAGCACTAGTACTACAAAAAAGAAAAAAGAGAGAAAAAAAGATGATTTCCTTTAAATTTTCTGGCATGAGGTTTGGAAGATAATCAAATGTTTATCAGCCATCTAACCAAAGTTGATACCAGAGGTGCTGGGGATATAGCTCAGTTAGTTGAGTGCTTGCCTTGCATGCACAAGGCCCTGGGTTCAATCCCTAGCAGCACAAAAAAAGAAAAAGAAAGTTGATATCAGTCATTTTTCTCCTTCAGAGTCGATGCCTAGGAGCCAGAAGACTGTGCCAATGCCAGCAGTTGTGGAGAAGGCAAAAGAAGAGAGACCAGCACCCTGGGGCAGCTGAATCCCAGGCAGATTCTCAGCCTGAGAAGGGAGGTGTTCACTGTGTGGTTTATGTCATTTGTTTAGAGAAAACAGGATTAACATATAAGTGCAGGGAGGTTGGGAACTGCTTTAGTTATAAAGCAAAAGTGGGTAATTTTTCTATGTCAGATATCTGTACTGCTATTTTCCTAACATCAGTCCACTCATAATCCAATGAGATACTTACTGAAAATACATACTTCTGGGGACAGATAAACTGAATCACAATGTCTAGTGGAGCCAGGAATCTTCTTTTCTTTTCTTTTGAGACGAGATCTTGCTATGTTGTCCAGGATGGTCTCAAAATCCTGGATTTGACAAGCATGGTAGTGCATGCCTGTAATCCCAGCAGCTTGGGAGGCTGAGGCAGAAGGATAGCGAATTCAAAGCCAGCCTCAGCAAAAGCAAGGCGCTAAGCAACTCAGTGAGACCCTGTCTCTAAATAAAACACAACAAATAGGGCTGGGGATGTGGCTCTGTAGTTGAATGTCTCTGAGTTCAATCTCCAGTACCAAAAATTAAAAATAAAATAAAATCCTAGATTAAAGCCATCCTCCTGCCTCAACTTCCTGAGTAGCTAGGACCATAGGGCTATGCCAGCATGCCTAGCTTAAGATTTTTTAAAAAGTTCCCTAAGTATAGGTGGATTTACTGTGAAATAAATGAAGCTTATGCTTCAGGACCCATGACCCTGTTCAAAGCCATGCATCTGATTATGTACTTTTAAAATTTGTATTGTTCTTCTTTAAGAAGGCTCCCCAAAATTGTAAAATCTTTAGAATTCACAGATGTATTCATCCTGTCCTTAGGTAACTCTTCTTTTTTTCCTTATGGTATTGGGGATTGAACCCAGGGTCCACGTATGCTAGATAAGAGCTCTATCAGTGAGCCATATCCCCAGCCCCAGGTGATTCTTATGTAAAGTAAAATTTAGGTACCATCACTCTTGAACACAGTTTGAAGACTTGGCATTGCAACTTTCTTCTTTTTCTTGTCTCTGGGTTTCCTGACACAATTATAAATTAATAGTGCCCTTTGGTTAAAACAGACACCATACCACTGGCTCAGCATGGAAACTTTTAAATATATTTCCTACCAGGAGTAGACTTGGCCTTTCAATATGAGATATTGCTGGGCACCTTCTTCAAGACAAATAATGTTCCCTAAGGCAAACAGGCTTTACACATTATTTTATTCACTTATTTTTATGTGGTGCTGAGGATTGAACCCAGGGTCTCATATGTGCGAGGCGAGCACTCTACCACTGAGCCACAACCCAGCCCCCTAGGCTTTAAAAATTAAACAAGGCTTTAAAAATTAAACTTTTGTAGAATTACAGCATTGATAATAGTCTCAAAGATTATCTAGTTCAGGATGGTACACATACTGCTACTCTTCCATTCTACATCAAGTGCATATGTCAATAATCAAGCACAGCACTCTTTCCACTCAGACCTGGCATTACAATCTTCCTTATCACAGTGCTATAGGCACCCACTGCCAATTTCTTGGTGAACTCTAGCCTAGGTTAATATTTTCTCCTAATATTAGGTGATAATCCTATACAAATAGCATGATTTTGTAATATGGTATAGCTTAGTTCTTTACTCCACATTATCATTTCTACTGAATATTGGCAGAAATAGGCTTGAAGGGGACAACAACATCCAGCTCAGAATTAGAGGTAATCACGTAGCAGCTACTTGGATTGAACTTCTATGAACGTAATAGGCTACTGAATGAAAAGGGGATGAAAACAGTAATAAGGTAGCAATTTTATACACATAATTTCATTTGTTTCTCACAAAAATTCTGGGAGGTAGCCAGGGTAGGTAGCTGATACTGATACTTAATTAGAAGGTTAGAGAGGATATGTGACTTTCTCAAGGTCACACACACTGGTAGAAACAGAACTAGAATCCATGTTTTTTAATTGCTACACTAATATTCATTAAATCCTTCATCTAGTCCACAAAACTTTACTGAACACCTGAGTGTCTGCTTCCCTGTTAAAGATGTTTACAATCTAATTGGAAAGAAAAATCTTTGATTAAAAAAATCATAATTATGTTCATAACAGCATAATAGGCACTTAGAAAACTTGATGGCACCTGGGGTCAGCTATGGTGAGTGTGGAATGAGATTATTAAAAATATTTGGCCAGATCCAAAAATCTCTGTTCAAATCTCTGCCTCTTTTCAAAACAAAATGAGATTGTTTGGGCCTAATTCAGGAATGAAGCAGAATCCCTGAAGCATCTTGGATCCACCCCAGTTGCATACTTAGGGACTTTTCCATTCAAGGCAAACAGATCAAGCAAGGGGTGAATGGCACTTTACTAGTGGGCTATAATTCTCATTCATATGTGCACCTTCTTCATACTTTCTATGTAATTATTGGGTAACGAAGAGGCAAAATGAAGTGTACTTGGAATTATATGGGGTTTTGTACTTAGCAATCCCTTTGTTGACATATGAAGAAATATTCCTTCACATCTTTCATTATCCTTTATATTTCCCTTCAATCTTTAGGTTGGACAAGACATTCCTAACTCATCAAATGCGAAAAAAACTACAGGAATTACTATTATGCACCAGACATACTTTTGAAAAATTCTGTTCTGAATGAATACACTGTTTCTTCTCCACTCTTTCCTCCCTATTATTAGTCAATATGGGCAGTTTCTTGCCAGTGTTACATTTATATCTTCATGGGGTGGTGGGGCATTATCGTCAGTGCTGCCAGGTCAGGGAAGGAAGAGCCTGGACTGAGCAGTTACCCTCACACTGCTACTGACGTTGCCACAAGCCTCTGTGATTCACTTTGGATGTCCATGAAAATGGATATCTTTCCATTCCATCAAATGAAAACAAAGGCCTTCCCTCTAAGTACTATGAATGGATCTTATTGCTCTCTTTGACAAAAGACTTAAACACAGCCTCCAAGAAACTGGGCAAGGCAGCTGGTAGTGTGGCATACATCCCAACTCCTCCGTTATCCTCACAACTGACTTCCTGCTCACTGGCTGTCATTGAGCTTACAAACTAATGTCCTGCTCTTCCAGAATAATGTCCACAGGTTTTATGATTTACCCTCTGCCATTGCATATGGCTATCAACACACTGGTGAAGGAAACTTGACCCTACTCATTCCAAAAGCCCTCCTCATAAGTCATTCCCAAGGGGCTTAGAGACTGCAGACTCAAGTGAAGTCTCCTCACAATCCAGAATTCCTAAAGTGGGTCTGATATATATTTTATTTTAGTAGTGTGATACATACAGTTTGGATAAGGATTCCAGAGCAGAATGATTATGACCACGATAGAGGCGCAGCTGTGATGGAGTCTGACCCGCCTAAGCAAGAGTTTCGTGAGAAAGTGGAAACAGCTGATCTTAAAGAACTGTTTAAGTGGAAAAGGGAATGGTGGATGTTAGCCTGCTTCTTTTCATAAGATTCTGAAACCATTTCATTTTGGTGATATGTGCCTGCTTCTATGTAATTCTGTTTTCTTAGTTCTCTGGTAGAAGCCATACATACATTGTATTCTTCTTTCTTTCACTTCAAATACTGTCCAAAAAATGATTCTCAAAACTGTACTATAATAGCAGAGGAACAAGCTGAACCTGGAAGAGACAGAAGAGACAAAAGCATGGGTGATGTCATGTTTTGGTGAAACACTAAAGAATCTCTGAAGATCCACAGAGCATACATGGAACATATGGCAGACAGAAAGGACAGAACACTGGTGTGGCCTTTGGATAAATACATTACACCCTGCCACTGAATCACAACATCACCTTAAGTTTATCCTGCCATCTCTTATTATTTAGTTCGACCATAAAATAGGAGGAAAGTGGGGCTGGGGATGTGGCTCAAGCGGTAGCACGCCCGCCTGGCATGCGTGCGGCCCAGGTTCGATCCTCAGCACCACATACAAACAAAGATGTTGTGTCTGCCGAAAAAAACTAAAATAAATAAATAAATATTTTAAAAAATTTAAAAGAAATAGGAGGAAAGTGCCTGCTTTTCCTGGGACCAATTGGGAGGATTATTAAAAACATGTTCTTAGAAGCTCTTGGTCTAGAATTAATGCCTGCATTCATCCCCACATGTCCCTGCCTTTCCCACCACAACTGAATGTCTCTTAATCTGGAAACATGAAATTTCCCAGAAGATGAAACCTGTGGCAAAGTCCATGCCTATCAACTCTTCTGCAAGAGTATAATTTGGACATTTGTATTGATTTTCTTTATAAAAATTCACTGAGTCAAAATTATGTATTTTGCTTTGGGAACATCTGTTTCCCATGGCAAAGCAAGATCTCCCTGTGGATTTTCTAACTCCCTAGTCATTTAACAACTTTGAATCCTATATTACCTCTCTAGTGGAGATTCTTGAAAAGTAAGAGATCAAAGAGATGGCAGTTCAGAAGGGAGAACTCCTATGGGGACTCTGGGATGTGGACTTTAGTCTCAGATTGCTTCAGAGCCAGGCACAATTCTCTGTGTCACCATTACAGATGCAACTTGATAAAACATTTCTATGTAAGTGCAAATTACTCCTCTGCAAAGTATATGGTTCTTATTGCAAATTCTTTCTTACAAAGTTGTCATACTTTGTTTTTCTGATTATTAAAGTACATTCTCATTTTTAAAAATTTTGAAAATAATGGAAAGTATAAAGAATAAAGGATTAAAAGTTATACCTAATCTCTCCTTCTAGAGATAACCACTGCTGACAGTGATATATCTCTTTACAGAAAGTTTATAAATACATATAGATATGATAAAAAGACACATATATTACACAATATCATACTTTTCTTACTACTTTTAACCTGATTCCCCTTTCCAGTTAATGTATTATTACATATTTCCAATTGGCATATTTATTGTGTTTATATTCAAGTTTTCAAAGTTCCTAGAAGTCCTTCCAACTTTTCAAAGTGTCTATGTCACCCCAATACTTTTTTTAAATATTTATTTTTTAGTTGTAGTTGGACACAATATCTTTATTTTATTTATTTATTTTTATGTGGTGCTGAGGATCGAACCCAGGGCCTTGCATATGTGAGGTGAACACTCTATTGCTGAGTCACAACCCCAGCCCCCCTCAATACTTTTTTGATAGGTCCAAAGATTAAGGTATATATTTGCTTTGGCAAAGAAGGCACATTCACAAAACCTCTAATTTAAACTTTGAAGTTAGTGCTGAATGACATTAATGGCCACGATAGTATGGTTGTTTTAAAAGCATTCCTTGATTTAAAAAAATACTTAATATTGAACAATTTTATACATTTTGCCATTTTTCATTCTTTAGATATAACTGTGATCTCCAAAATCAGAGTGACCTAGGATTCTGGAAAGTGCTGAGCAGGCACTTAGTGTCTTTCCTTTTCTGTTTCCTTAGGTTAGTGCAAGCAAGGATAGGCTCAGAGGTGCCATCAGCCCTAATCATTCTCCACCCTTAACTACCCCTTCTTATTTTAGACCCCCTTTAAATACTGTCCATCATATTCTGACCTAGACCATTTCCCTTTGTGTCATTTTCCAAGGAAGAGTTGCTTTATGTATTTGTGACCAGGAGACAAAGAGAGTCCTATGGTCCTCCTTTCCCCTCCCACTCTCCAAAGGGATTTCATTTCCTGAATACACACAATGGGCCTCATGTTGCTTTGAGTTGCTATTCATTTTTTATGCATACTTTCCATGAAGCTGTAGTGTCTATATTAATTTGTCTATATTACTTTCTATGAGCAAAGTATCATGTTAATAGTAGACACTTAAATTATGATGATGTCACAACATCAAATGGTAGCTAAGGATAGCATAATGATTTTCTATAAGAGAATGAAGTAATTTCTATTTTCAGATAAAAGCTGCCATGGGGGCTGGGGATGTGGCTCAAGTGGTAGCGCGCTCGCCTGGCATGCGTGCGGCCCGGGTTCAATCCTCAGCACCACATACAAAGATGTTGTGTCCGCTGAAAACTAAAAAAATAAATAAATATTAAAATTTAAAAAAAAAAAAAAAAAAAAAAAAACATTAAAGAGAAAAAATAAAAAAAAAAAAAAGCTGCCATGGGTTGCTAGGAAGATATAAATCAACGTGGACCCATACAGCAATTATTGACCCATACTGTAACACTTGAATGTGTCTCTCTAGATTTACATTCTTGTCTCTTAGGCTTTATATCTCTTCTTCTTTCTCTTCTCCCTTATTATTCCAACACTTTTTTCCCCTATCTTTTTCTTTTCCTTACTCTATGACTTGACTTACCAATCATCCAATCTATGGAAATTGATCCATTTTACATTGAAACTTCAGGTCCAAAAAGATTTTTCTTTTCTTCTTTTTGGTACTGGGGATTGATTCCAGGGTTGCTTAACTACTAAGCCACATCCTCAGCTTTTTAAAAAAATTTTATGTTTTTTAATTTTGAGAAAGGGCCGTGCTACTTAGGGCCTTGCTAAATTGCTGAGCCTCCTGAGTTGCTGGGATTACAGGCATGCACCATTGCTGGAATTATATTGTGCCTGACTCAAAAAGTCTTTTCTTCTACCTAGCCCTCCTTCCTTTGGTACAGTTTAGCAATAGGTGCAACTTGGGAAGTTAGGAACTTTCCCTGGACTCATGAATTTGCGCCACCCAGTGGTTTAATCTGATAACTGCATTCTCTGAAAAATCAGTAGTGGGAATTAATAAATGCAGCATAAATAAATCATGACAAATATAAAGCCTGAATTACTGCATAATGGGAAAAATTCATAATAAGAAAATTTCATTATATTTTTAAATCCCATTTACTAAAACTTAGGATGGAAATGCTATGTTTAGAGGCTTGATGTTATGGTCTCCACTGAACAAGATGATAAATAAACAGTTCAGGCTATAGAGTAAAGCCCTTACTGCCTCTAGAAGAACCAAACATTCTATGGAAGAGACACATAATTTGAAGACTCATAAATTGCATATATGATAGTATCAGATAATAGTTTATTTTTCTACAATGAATATTCTTGGATGTATTTATGTCTAGAACATATATGCCAAGGAGTTAATGGGTTGTAGGATATAAAAATGTGTGTGTGTGCACGTGTGTGTGTGTATGTGTATACACACACACACATATTCACCTTCACTAGATTGCAATTGGCTTTCCAAAGTGGTTGTACCAAATACAGAACCACTAGCAATAAAGAAATTGCCCATATTCCACATTCTCCCTAATTTGAAAATCTCAGACTTAATTTTTTCTCCCAATCTGATGGCCTTGAAGTCCTGTTATTGTTCTTACATTAATTTTCTTCCTTAATGGTGAATTTGAGTACCTTTGCATATATTTATTTGATGTTAGACTTTTTTCTTGCTTATAACCACTCCCTATTTTTCTACTGAGATCTTTTGTTAATTAAATTTTTTTAGATATACATGATAGTACTGTGTACTTTGACATATTATACATGCATGGAGTATGACTTATTCTAACTAGGATCCCATTCTTGTGGTTGTACATGATGTGGATTTTCACTGGTGGTGCATTCATCTATGAATGTAGGAAAGTTATGTCCAATTCATTCTATTGTCTTTCCTATTTCCATCCCGCC